GTGCACAGTTTATTTTGTCTTGTCTGTGGAAACCACTCGGTCAGAATCCCAAACTGTCCTGTCAAAAGTGCACCCAAGTGTATCTAGGCTGTCAGTGTAAGCCGGTGAAACTAGAAAGAAGAGACTGATTTTGATATCCGTATTTCTTTACTGCAAGACCTCGACTACAACCTGAGCACAGAAACAAATCCCAGTTGTCTTTTATGGCTGAATCGAAGTGAGCAATGATGCCTGGAAAACTGCTTTTGTGGGTTCAATTCTCAGTGAGAGAAACAATCCATTGTTTTTTTTGTTTTTTTTTTATAGAAAGATGAACAATGTTTTTTTTCTGAAATGTTCAATCATTTATCTCAATTTTCTTCTTTCAGAGTTGCTGTAAATTGATCATCATTCACAATTTGAACATTTCTGAAGAGATTTCACTGTCATCTGTGTACAGAAAATAGTATTATGTCCTGCACAAAGTGGGATAGAATATGGTTCGATGTATTGTTGACAGTGTTGGAGTCCAGCAATGAGAGAAACAGTGAAGACTGAATGGTACCACAATGAAAGATAGCTCGGTAAAAGTTCTGAAACCCAGGATGGAAGTATTTTCATGAAGAGCTGGAATCTCTGTGACATCATAGCCACAAAACCCTGAAAGCAAACAAATCTACGCTTGTTCACTTGTTATATGGGGGTATTTTGGGATGTGTTGGGAACCAGTAAAAGACTGTATCCCTAATTGTGCTGCAAAAGCTCTTTCCCTTCCACTGGCCTAAGAGCAGAGAGCATTTAAAATAGATTTTGACCAATACAGGTTTTTTTAAAGATGATGCCCATACTAGGGCTGCGACAACGAATCGATAAAATCGATAAAAATCGACTTTTAAAAGCGTTGGCAATGAATTTCATCATCGATTAGTTGTGTTGCGCGATTAATGCGTCATCCGCCGCCGCCGTCATCACATCCACTTGACTGAAACGGGGGAAGAAGAAAAAAAATACGGCAGAGCGAGCCAGCGCCGCAGGTGCGCAGTGTTGCCAACTCAGCGACTTTTCAGATCCCTCCAGCGACT